GATGCTTTTACTTCAATTAGTAACAGCACATTGTTTTGGACCGGAGCTCCCCAAAAGTGAAAAGTTCCTTACTTACTCACCAATAGCTAACTGAGGCTGAATGATTAGGAGATTGATTGCAAACCAGCAAGGGAAGTTGCTGCCATCAGAAATCACTGCTGAAATAAACTTGTTTGATTTTTAAGAAGCAAAAATTAAGGAAGTGTTCAAACACCAGGCTGGATGGGGCTTGGAGCAACCTGGTCTAGTGGAAGGTGTTCCTGCCCATGGCAGCGAGTTCCAACTGGGTGATCTCAAAGGGCCCTTCTAACCCAAATCAGTCTGTAATTCTATGAATCTCTGCTGAAGCCTGTCGACCTTTGCAACAACGCAAACAACAAAACACGAATCCTTTCAGATGCCTTGTCTTTGATAGGACAAACAGAATGTCAAAATGAGAATGAGATAGTATGAAATCATGCAATTTCGTTGGTATAAATATGGAGACGTATCAGGATATTTTAATACACACAGGTAAATGTGGGTTTCCAAATTCATTTCCTTTTAAAAATACTTTTAAAAACACACACAAGATTTAACAAAACTTAACACTGAATGCAAAAAGAAGTTGGAAGAACCTTCATATAGGAGGCTATAAAACTCAACAACCAAGACTTCATGAGACAGGGGACATCCTCACTTGTGAACAGTATTAAAACACCAATTTTATTGAGGAATACAGAATACATTTGTGAAGATTTCCAGTTTACAAAAGTTTAAGAAAAGGCTGGGGGTTGGGTTCCAACGTGTCTATTTCAAGTTGACAAAAACCCTCCAAAATCAGGGAGAAAAAAAAAAAGACAATGAAGGCCACAGCCCTGTTCTGGGATACATTCAGGCAGAATCCAGCACAGCGCTGTCATTCTTTCTGCACTCCATATTTTAGTCCACAAGTGCAATATAGCCTTGTGTTAATGAAAAATATGTCACACCTAGTATGAACTGCAAGAAGAGCACTTGTCTTACTATTTTAGTTCCAGGCATTATATGCAAAGAAGCTTCCAATGAGCCACAGTTAAAAACAGTATTTGTCATCCGGTCACCACATCGCAAATATAGCATTAAATTCTTCATTTATACAATTTTAAATATTCATTAAAAATGAAATTAAGAATCAGTGTCCCACTATCCTTTTCATCATTAATAGTTTTTCTTATCTACTAAAAACATTTGTCTTCCTAAGATGTCTAAAAAGTAAAGCACACAAGATTAACAAGCTGCAGCATTAATTAAAATGAGAGTCATCATCTCTTTCCTCCTAGCTTCTAAATCTATCACAAGGGGCCGTATTAGCTGTATCAAAGTGAAGTGGTGTAAATAAAACTGATTTGACTTAAAAGGAGAGGAAGAATAAATGCAGTTACTTAAAAATCACCGTGCAGTCAGTGTTGTCAGGTATGTCGCTGTAGACAAGAGTCAAGAAAATTATTCACAGGGTCTCTTTAAAAAGCATTACTGCCAGTTTTCCATTAGCACAATACCAGAAAGGTAAACTGTAATTTACCTTACAAGGGACTTTAGACTGTTATCAAGCAGATTCACTAACAGCCTAATTTTAAATGCACACCACTGACTTCAGCAGAGGTTACAGACACTCAAAACTCCTGAAATTTATTTATTTGTTCATTTTTATATAACCCAAATCTTACTGGCTTATTACACATCCTTGGTGGTGTTCAAGGCCAGGCTGGATGGGGCTTTGAGCAACCTGGTCTAGCGGAAGGTGACCCTGCCCATGGCAGGAGGTTGGAACTGGATGAGCTTTATGGTCCCTTCCAACCCAAACCAGTCTGTGATTCAATGTTTTTTTTGGAATCAATTATATTAATACCTGTGCTGAAGAAAGTGACTCATTGCAGTGGTCACCATTCAATACACATGCGGAAAGAGAATTTGAATCTGGAAGAAAACTTTAATCAGCTTTACTTTTGTGAGAATAGGTCTTTGAAATAGCATCCATTTGTTTAAATATTATGTATAAAGGAAGGCTCCTGGAGGACTGACCTCAAATTAAATGGCTAAGAGGAACTGCAAACAATAGAATGATCAATTCCAATTTTACCAGCTACAGAAATGAAATTCTACCACATGGTATTTCATGAACATTTAACTTCAGCTTTACAAGCTGTGGATTTTCAATGAAATATTTCACTTCACCAGTATGGTTGTTGCTATCACGCCTTCCCAAAGATGCCACTGAATAATGCAGTATAACGCTGTATTAACACTACTAGAAGTGACATGTTATAAACAATTTCTGTGTGATATTACAGCAATTTCTGAAGATACCAGATAGCAAATCTGTTCTACAAACCAGCAAACGGGAGAAAGATGAAAATCCTCCTTAAAAGTTTTAGCATGACTTTTAGGAACAAGATACTGAAGCTCTCTGCTCCTCAAAGTTCAGCGGTCCCCATAAGTAATAACATAGGAAGACACGACTTACTTCTCTTTTTGGGCCTCTAGACAATGATATGTAACAACAGCCAGAAATGTGGTTAACAGCCTCCTTTATCAACATTCAATCAGGAAGGCACAATCTCCCTTTGTAACTCGTGTTCTCAAAAACTAGACGATTCCTATGCAAAGATAAATATACCCTTAACTGGAAGGGAAAACATAACACCATTTAGAATGTTTTTTCCTTCTTTTTCTTTTTTATAAGGTCCAAATGGATTATCTTAATGCAAAATTATGTGAATATATACAACCTGAAAGAGTATTATTTTTATACATATCTCTCTCTCTCTATATATATATATGTACATATATAACAGTGCCTGACACAGAAGGCAGAAGAAGCAGGCTACGTCCATTCTTTTCCTACTTCTTAGTAAAGCAAGGCAACGTTTTTCAGATCCCATAGGCAAACAATATTTGGTTTTCACACACCCCGGTGTCTTAGAATGCACATGGTGAAATGCAGTCCCCCACGGAAGGCCTGCATGAGGGAGACATGCCATGTAAGTTACACAGGACACAATGATTTAGTTTCACTAATACAGCCTGAGGTAACTTTAAAATTAAAAAGGTCGTTAATGCCAGTGCAGCTACTCCAAGCTCTTCAACAGTATGTTTTACAGCCCAATATAATGTTTTTAAAACTGCAACAGAAGAACATGAAGGCTAATTCTGATACAGCATTACATAGCTCTCTTACAGAGGCTTGAGCAGAACTTTTAACAAAAGCAAGAGAGGACAGCAGGGCCCAGTGCTCACGGGAGACACCCCTCTACCCACCTTTACTATTAACCCAGCTATGTACCCAAGTTTAACATACCTGTATAATAAAGAATAACTGCTATGTGACAATCACAACAGTCAGCCTATTAAATCGGATTCATTAATTAGCCAAGTCCTGGTTTGTGAAGGGCAGTGTAATTATATTGCTTGAGTTCCCAGCAAGCCTGTAATGAAAGGCTGCCCTTAATCTGCTTCCAAAGGCAGTGAAGCCCATCAGCATTAGAATTCTCCAGCACTCCTCACCATGTCATCTCAGCCGTGGCATGACCTATTGCTTGTAAACATGCCTGGCCCCTGCCTCTTCCATACCATGGCAGCAGACTCCAGAGCTGGAAATTATAAAGAAAACAAACAAACAAACAAACAAACCAAAACAACAAACCTAAAACACTCCACAGAAAAGAAATTCAGGTCCATGTGTGAGAACCGAGACTCGAGTCGTTCCCCTACTTACACTCAAGCTCAAAAATTCTTGTGTTCTGAGCATATAACCTTTGGCCAAAAGAAGTTACCTTAGAAAGATGGTGAAGAAGAAAGCAGGAGGTGTGGGCAGTCAGCTTCCTTCATTTCCAACAGACAGCAAAGTCTGTTTAATGGCACTGTTCATTAAATTGAAGGAGAAGTGGGAAATGTGTCCGATACGTTAAGTATAAATAATTTTTCAAGGCCAATTTCCCTCTGGACAAGAGGAAAATGCTGCATTGTTTTCTGTAAATTAAGCATAGTTTTCTGTACATAGCACTACAGTGGCATTTAAATGCACAGCTTACCTACCCCTCTTGCTACCGTCACGTCTTAGATACTTTCACCCAAGTAGTTCAACACTGTGCACTGAAACACACTTCACAGGAGACCATTACAAGAGTTAGGACAAAACAGGCACAAATACTTCTGGTTTTCAACCAAATGAACATGAATAATGGTGAAATTTTGACATTTTAAGGTTCTAGTGGTGCAGTAGAACTAAATCTGTGCAATACACTACTTACATACATATAGAATGAAACATGTATACATGCTGCAGACAGGGCTGACAAGCCCAATACCACATGACCTGCTTTCAGTTATTTTACAAATACAACATACTAGTCATTCCCATTAAAGCTTTCCATAATGAGTTTTTGCCTTGGGCTGATTTTGGTGTTCAAGATTTAACTGCAAGAGCTGGGGGGGCGCATGGGGTTGGTTAGCTTTTTGGTTTTTTTTTCTTGGTGTGGGGATTTTTTTGGTTGGTTTTGTTTGGGTTGTTCGTTGGGTTTGTTTCTTTTTTTTAAGATGGAACATATGAAGTAATGTTGCTTTTTTCACTTTTGAAAAGAAGTCTTGTGCTGCTTTGTTGAGAAGCTTCAGTGCTACTGTACTCAACCTTGAAGTTTGACAGATAAGCCAACCTTAAGAAAACCTATGAATTCAGCCTAGGTATTAGCATTTGGGAAAAAACCCAACCTGCTCAGTCAGAGATTTGTTGTATCCTCATGAGCTTAAACGCTGACAATTACATTCACAGTAGGAATGTTCCAGGTCATGAAGAGAAGGGTCAAGTAGGATATTTTCTGCAATTCGAGCACTGCTAGTGGGCTAGCATTGGGCACCGGACCTCCAGACTGCATCTCATGTGCTTCAAGGACCACCAGTTGGCACCAGGCAGTAAGAAGAAACAGTTCACATGTCAATAGGATGGGAGGCAGTCTGAAAACAAGAGTCCTTCTGGCAAAGTGTGTGTGTGCAACATCTCTATATATTATACAAGCACATATGTACATTCATACACAGTTAATAGTCCAAGACGGACATCACATCAGTTCTTTGACACAGAACTGATGTTTCTCTTACTAGTCGGAACCAAAACTTGCTTGCTGAAATATTGTGGAGAGTTGACGTGACGTTTAGCTCTTACAGCCCTGTCTCTGATGAGTCCAAAATGCTCAATTAAAAAATTAACTTAGTGTGGATTCAAATCAAGTCATCATTCAGGCAGATGTCCCCCTGAAACCTATTAGCCACAGCAGATTAACCCATACAGACTTGAAAAGGTAAATGCCTTCCTGCCCATCACAAATACTGAAGCATTTACATTTCTCTTTCAGCAGTGTAGTTGATCAGAGAATCATTTTGATCTGCTGTCCTCTCAAGAAGTGTTCTGTGGCCATCCATACTGTCATGGATGTCCCTTGTCCAACTGCCAGCTGTTCCCAGAGGGCTTCCTGCCATGGGGGTGTCTGTGCTCGCCAAGCTTCCTGTTCGAGATCGGTAAGGAGGAAGATCTGGCTGATTAGGGGATTCAGATTCAGAACAATAAGGCGGTGGAGGAAGGTCAAACCAAGGTGGTCTGCTGTAAGACACACAACACAGTAAGAGGTTACTGAAAACAGTGGTATGGATGGTGGTACAGTTTTTCAATTATGAAAAAACCAAACAGGATTTCTTAGCTTTTCCAAGATGACTCTCATCAGGAAACCTCAAACAGACCTGACTAATTCATACATGTCATTCCGAAACATTCACACCACCACTGGGCACCAAGGTTTCTGGCCAAGATACAATACAGCTAATTACATTCTGCCTAACACTCTACTCTCAAAGTTTCATGGCTATGCACTTCCAACAAATCTCATCTTACCCTCAAAGACTGCTGCAAGAAGCAAGAATTTTCCCTACAAACATTTACACAACCAGAGAAAGCGCTTCAAAAGAAATAAGACAAGTAGTGCATTCACACCTGTAATGATGTGAACACAAGAAAGCTCTGAGGAAACTTCCACTGAGTGACAGAGATTAATGGCTTATGGCCTACAAATAAATAATGAGCTGAATTCTCCACATGACAGATCACTTTTGCTGTCATGATATCACATGCAGAGCAACTGCTAAGTAGGCATAGACAAGATGAGTACTGGATTCATGAAAACTGGGGTTTTTTTGGTTCTGACAGGAAACAAGTGAAGGGTCTAAAGGGTTTAGTAGATTGAAAACTAAACTGGGAGCAATTAGCTATTAAATTGCTAACTTGTTTCAGCCCAGGTGAGAAGTGACTACAGTCTGGCCAGCTGCTCATTTAGTTACCCTTACTTATGGAAAGATAGCATTGTTATGAATATCAACATTAAGACATGGAAGCTGCTGCCAAATGCAAAGAATAGGACCACACTATCATTTTCAGATCCCAGAGTTCATACTAAAAAAATACCAACAGGGTGACAGTGAACAATCTGGATCATGAAAGTTCATACCATGCCCTTTTTATGTACAGAGGATGTCAGTCTAGGAGTTTTGTTTGGAATGACTCTACAGACAGAGGTTAAAATGAAGGTTAATTGTACAAATAAAACCAGTGTCAAACTGCAAAAATATCATAACCCAAACTGTACTCACTCACGAAAGCTCAAAGCACTTTCAGCTATTTAAAATGAGAACATTTTTTTTCAGTTCAGAGTCCTGCCCTTTTCCTCTATTGGTAAAGTAGTGAAGGGCAGATGGACTCCACAATTTCTTTATGCAAGAACTGAAGACCTCTCACCTTTATATACTTATCACATATGATGGGAGTAACTGCTTGGGTTTTGGTTATTTTGGCAAAACTCCAAAGTTAATTTTCATGGTTTGGTTCCAGACTAGCACAAGACACTACTAGCACAAGACACTACTAGACAAGTGATACATTCCTTTGCATTCTCCTGTCACCCTCAAAATCTCTCTAGAGGCAAACTTAAGTTTGCCTAAAACCCCTTTAATACCCATAATAGTAAGGGGACCCGAGGACCAGGTATTTTTCATATTCAGGAGCAGCTCAAATTTGCCCAGATCTGGCCCTATTCATGTGACGGAAATGCAGTGCTGAAATTCTGTCAAAAGCAATAAGGATAAATCATTGAATCACAGAATAGTTTGACTTGGAAGTTTCAACCCCCCCTGCCATGGGCAGGGACACCTTCCACTAGACCAGGTTGCTCCAAGCCCCATCCACCCTGGCCTTGAACACTGCCAGGGATGAGGCAGCCACAGCGTCTCTGGACAACCTGTGCCAGGGCCTCACCACCCTCACATTCTCCCCTCTGTCAGCTCAAAGCCATTCCCCCTTTTCCTATCGCTACGTGCCTTTGTCAAAAGCCCCTCTGCAGATTTCTTGTGACCCTTTTAGGCACTGAAAGCTGCTCTAAGGTCTACCTAGAGCCTTTCTCTTGTCCAGGCTGAACAAGTCACCTTTCAGCTGTCTCCACAGCAGAAGTGCTCCAGCCCTTGGACTCTTTTGGACTTTCTCCAACAACTCCACATCCTTCTTGTGTTGTTGCCCCAGAGCTGGACACAGGACTGCAGGGTGGTTCTCACCACCCTGTAGAGGTAGAGAGGGGTAGAGGGGGAGAATCCCCTCCCTCAACCTTTTGGTCATGCTCCTTGTGATGCAGCCCAGGACACGGTTGCTTTCTGGACTGCAAGTGCACACTGCTTGGTCATGGCGAGCTTCTCATCAAGCAAAACCCTACTTTTCCTCAGGGCTGCTCTCAATAAAGGGAGCAAAAGCACAGACTAACAGAGCTACTTCCAGTAGTGTGAAACTTTGGTGAGCACAGAATTAGCTCCTGCACATACCTTTGGTCGAGCACAGCCTCCGAATAGGATGGTGGAGAGTCCAGGTCCACTGGCCTGTGGTAGGCCTGGCTAGACATGTACTGGATCCCATTGTTAACGTTGTAGGTGACACTGCAGTGGTGTGGGTGATCAAGCACCACCAGCCGGGACAGCAGGACAGGGTGCTGCAGTCGATGCACTGGCAAGGTCATAAGATTGTTGCGTTTCCTTTGGTGATGCAGGACCAAGGCAAGAAAGGCCACCACAAGAACGAAAATGACAGAGCTGCCAATGATAGCGTAGGTAATGCTAGGGTAGTAGAGCAGCTGGTTTTCTGAGGTCACATAATCTTGGCCACTGCCTGCCTCTACAAGACAAAAGGTAAAGGAAGTCTGAGATGTGTTTCAGTATAAAACTCCTTCTAACCTACGCTGTTTTCTGCTATTACGGTGTGAGAAAAAAAGTTTTCAGTTTTTCTTTGTATTGTGGAAAATTATGTTATAAAAAGCATACGCAGGCAAATCAGCGATTGGCACAGAATTGTCACTCAGTCCATCCTCATTCACAGTTAATGCCAGCATATAAACTACCAGTGCGAGACCATCTAAGAAAGACAAAAAAAATCACATGCTGTAGTAGGAAGCATGTGCACTGTATCATGGGAATATCTCCCCCATCCTTACCTATCAGTCATAACCTTCTTGTTTACAGAGGTAAGACACCCAGGTCTGAGGCATAAGCACATAAACTAGCTGTACCTGGCACAGCACCCTAGAAATCCAAGGTGGAAGAGCTGGATTTTTTCAGTCACCATACAGGAGAAGGAATTCCTGCCTGGGCTCTGGGCCCAGAGAAGCAAAAAGTAATGGAATAATGACTGTAAAACATCTGAATGGATTCTGAATTACACGCAAATCTTAGAAGAAAACACGGTAAAAGGCAACAAACGCAAAGGAGGAAAGAGGCTCAGAGAAGCAAAATGGCATAAACACACTGATGTGACTCTGCTGCATTTAAGTTCAGAGCCAGCACCACAGAACCACGTTCTCCCGGCTCCATTCCAGCCTTCCAGCCCCATGTTCACAAGATCATACAGCCTTTGAGTACCATTTTCTTTTTTGGGGGGAGAATTTTTATTTGTGTGCATGCTGTAACTCCTTGTAGACTCAAAAAGAAAAGTACTTTTCTGACAAGACATTCATCTATCCCTAGAAAAATGGAGAAACGGAGTCAAATACAACCAAAAGAAACCCAACCCCCAGACTTCTCACATCCATACAATAAGAGGATTATCCATCCAAATTCTTCATTTCCTACTGCAGAGGGCTGGACAGTAAATCTTGACACATTATTTTTCTTTCTTTCACCTATCAACTAAACCCACTTTTTGATCACTCAGAATTGCCACTGAGCCACTTACAAATTCCTCTAGCAACAAAATAATGAAATATATACTGATTGTATCCAGCATAATAGAAGAGCTTTCCTCAAGCACCCACTGTACTGCATTAAGATGCTTCGGGTATTTCTCTAAGTATTTTATTTTGGTAGTTCACTTGCATGGTTAAACACCAAACCCTATTTTCCAGCAACCCTAAAAATAATTTATGGATTAGTCAGGTAAGGTAACACAAAATAAAATAGCTAATCCTTTAAACATCTCTATTTAAGTCCTAGGTACTTCAGTGAGAAGGAATGAGATGGGAAAGAAAGACTGCACTTTCTTTGTAAGGAAAGGAACTAAAGGAACATGATTTCTTCCCTGTGAGGGTGGTTAAGGCACTGGCACAGGTTGCCCAGAGAAGCTGTGGCTGCCTCATCCCTGGCAGTGTTAAAGGCCAGGCTGGACGGGGCTTTGAGCAACCTGATCTAGTGGAAGGTGTCCCTGCCCATGGCAGAGCGGTTGGAATTGGGTGAGCTTTAAGGTCCCTTCTAACTCAAACCGGTCTGTGATTCTATGGTTATTGGTCCTGGTACTAACTACAAAATCCACCACTCTTGAACAGTTCTGTTTTATTGATGATGCCATTACAACCAGAGCTGTGCAGGTCAGCAAGACATGCAGATTTCTTGATACCTAAGGTCACACATCTCAGCAAGGATCCTTACTAAATTTATTTCCCTGTGCAACTGTGCTAGAGAGATGGCTAAAATCATTGTTTACCAGTCAACCGGAGGTCTCTGGCTCACTCAAAGTGAGCAAAGTCTGCATGAAGAATGTAAATCAAAGCAGAAAGGAGAAAAGGAATTTACATGCATTAGTAATTTTAATTACAGCCATCACATATTGCAGTGGCTTCTTTAATACACTCCCTAAATTTACCACCGGAGAAGCAAATTCATATCATGGACAAGGGCTATCCCAGAGCAGATCACTTTTATGTGAACATCAACAAGTTTATTTGCAAGAACTGATGCATACAATACCTGCAATTCTTCACTGCAAGGAAGGTAAATATATTATAACATGCCAATAAAATACCCCAGGACTTTCTTTCATCTTAGCTCACTGGTTACAGCGCATTGGCATAAGACTCAGAACAGGCTGCCTATGCACACCTGATGAGACTTAATTAGTTACCATGGGATCATTCCAAAGCAGCACCATCTCTCCTCTTTATAAACTCCTTTTTATTAAAAGGAAAGAAAAATGAGAAGAGTGAATTACATGTCAACATACTTCCAACACTTTTAAGGTTATCCATCTGTATAGGAAAGCATCTTTGAGATCCCGCACAAAAAACTTACATAAATCCAAACAGATTAACCAGAATGCTGAAGAAGAAAATACCTGATCAAAAGTCAGATGGGTTCTGATGGCCAGCTTTAGGACAGTCTGAAACAAAACATCTATTTTATCTGGTTCTTTTCATGCAACAACCCACATATCTTGCAAAGATTTTAGGTAAATTTGAAACTAACATGCTGATTTGGAGCTTTGGGATTACTGCACCCAATGAAACATCATTTCTTTGCCAATATAACTCTAGCCCTTCTCAGGGTTTTAGATCTGCTGCTTGCATTCCCACATAGTTCAATGTATCTCTGAGAACAAGATCAACCTAAAAGGCATGCCTACACTAGGGACCACAGGTCTGTGTAGAGATCTCCAAACCACTAGAGCCCCATGAAGACGCTGTTCTGAATAATGCAATCTTGTGCAGCCTTTGAATCTGCCAACATAGTAATATTGCTTTTGGGATCTGAATAAGCATCTCCATCCATTCAGCTAGTTCTAGCCTCTGTGTGTCCACATGGAGCTCCACTGAGGGGTACAGATATATCCTATATATATATATATATATATATATATATAAAAAAGTAAAAAATTCTTCCCTGTGAGGGTGGTGAGGCCCTGGCACAGGTTGCCCAGAGAAGCTGTGGCTGCCCCATCCCTGGCAGTGTTAAAGGCCAGGTTAGATGGGGCTTGGAGCAATCCGGTCTAGTGGAAGGTGTCCCTGCTCATGGCAGGGGGTTGGAACTGGATGAGCTTTAACATCCCTTCCAACCCAAACTATGCTGTGACTCTATGATCCTGCGAAGATGAAAAAAATCCATTTTACCAATCAAGTGCTCTTTCTTGTGCCCTGGGCAGTGCTGAATACTTTTCATGGAAACACTCCCTTCCCATGCAAAAAAACCAGCTCCCTAAACATGCATAGTCTTTATATCTTTACAGGAACACAGAGTGCACCGTATCTCTGAGATGGAGTTCTGCCTAGGAAGATACAGCTTTCATTGAAACAAAGTCTTCTTTCACCACCGTAACAACCTTATTCTTGCCTTCTGGGCCAAGAGGATACAATGTTAAGGTCCCTTAGCAAAACATGTTTACAAGTGAAGTCCAGTGACATTTAACTTCCTCTGTGGTGCAGTTTAAACCAAGAAAGAGACACCTGCATCTAACCTACCTTTTGTAGCAAAGGCTTTAAATCTAAATCTGCAAAAGATGAAAGTAACATTACCTTGGCTTGCAGCCCTAGAGAGAGCACTTCCCATTCAAGGAGAAGAAATTAACTGCTCTGAACAGTCTTCCAAAATGTTCCGGGCAAGAAAACTGCTCCATAGCACAGCTAAAACAAAAGCAGCAGAACTATGAGACAGTTTTGCATACAGGAGACTTCTACATCAAGTTTTTTCTTTGCCTCACAATATATTTGATCATGTTGAAATGAGCAACTTCTTGGTAACAAAGCCAGGTGAGTTTACAGATACGTGGAAGGGAACAATGGGTACCTAGCTATGCTCATTTTGGCCAGGACAGAGTTAATTTTCTTCATAGTAGCTGGTATGGGGCTGTGTTCTGGATTTGTGCTGGGAACAGTGTTGAAAACTCAGGGATGTCCCTGTTACTGCTCAGCAGCACTTACAAAGAACCAAAGCCCTTTCCTGTCCTCACCCCACCAGTAAGTAGGCTTGGGAGCACACAAAGAGTTGGGAGGAGACAGCTGTCCCAAACTGACCCAAGGGATGTTCCACACTATGTCATGCTCAGCATGTAGAGGGAGAGAGGCAGGGAGGGAGGAAGGCAGGGAGGCAGACAGTTGGAGTGATGGCATTTGTCTTCCCAAGTCACCATCATGCATGATGGAGCCCTGCTTTCCTGGAGATGGCTGAACACCTGCCTGTGATGGGAAATAGCGAATGAATTCCTTGCCTTGCTTTGCTTGCATGCACAGCCTTTGCTTTACCTTTTAAACTGTCTCCATCTCAACCCATGAGCTTTCTTACTTTTGCACTTTCAATTCTCACCTATCCCACCAGGGGGACTATGTGGGGCTCAGTTGCCAGCTGCGGTTAAACCACAACACTAAATCGGACTGCCTGATGAACCTCTACACATTTTGAGCACACTGCAACAGGAGGGAGATATGAGAACACCTGAAAAATCTTAGCTGGACATGCACCACTGTTTTAGGAAGAAAGAGCCACAAACTCTTCAGCTCTGCTCTAGTAACTTTCAGTAGATGTTTACACATCACAGAAGTCACTGAACTGAATTTCTAGATAATTCAGTCATCTTCTCCAGAAGCAGCAGGTATTATCCAGTCAGGTTTAAATACGTCTCCCTGTTCTGCTATTAAATGCAAATTCACCAATTTCAGGTTTAAATTCATGGAGTATTTATTCTTCAAACTTCCCCTCACCCCCCTTATAAAGATATAAGTTTCTTAATCGTGTCATATATAAACAGTTTATCACTGCCACTTATGCCTATTAAACCCTAGTTATCTGCGGATTAGAGATTTCTGCAGTGTAAAAAGCTTTGGGAATAATTCAGGAAAAGACTGATAAAGGAAACACAACGGGTTGTGCTCAGAGGGCTATCTCATTGAGGCAGCAAATTTGTTCGCAGTCAAAGTTTTT